AAAAAACTGTACGTTTTGGACATTTGCTTATATGCAACAACCAACATAGTATGTCAGTCACTAAAAATTACAGGGCCCCTGCAGGAGCTACACCTACTTCCTCCTCTTATACTGCCCCCCCCCCTCCCCCACCCCCCAGTTGGTGGTGTGAAGAAGAAGAACAGATTCATCATCAAAGTAATGGTGAGTGCTTATATTGATCATGCAGCTTCAGGGTCACTGCAGTCAGCATTTTGGGGCAGCAGTGACAAGGCTGCTAAATCCTGAAAAGGTTACATCACATAATTAATCAAAATTGATTTCTAATGTCAGATTAAATGTCCACCGCTGGCGACCCCAGTTGCTATGGTGAAGGGCTGAATGGTGATATGGCTGCATGGGAGAGATGTTTTCATGTATTGCCAAGCTCTACACTTCGCTAGTTGTGAACAAGCTGAGTAGCTCATTAGTGTAGCTGATTGTACAATTGCAGTCAGGTCCATTGAAATTTGGACAACGAAATTTGGACATTTTCTTTTGTAATTTTGCCTCTGTACATCACCACAAGGGATTTTAAACCCAGCAATCAAGATGTGATTGAAGTGCAGACTTTCAGCTGTAATTCAAGGGTTTTAACAAAATTATTGCAGCAATTACAGCTATTTTTGTAGAATAGCTTTTTGTAGAATAGCTCCACACATTCAGAGGGACTTGAAGAACAATTCAAGAACGTCCGGCTTCTTTGCTTTCAGAAACTCTGGAGTTGCTTTTGCCGCATGCTTGGGTCATTATGCATTTGTACTTTGAAGCGCTGTCCAATCGGTTTTCCAGCATTTAGCTGAATCTGAGCAGAGAATCTGTACATGTCACAATTCATTCTGCTACTTCTATCAGGAGACCGATCATCAATAAACATTAATGACCCAGTTCCACTGGCAGCTGTACATGCCATAGCTATGCCACCGTTCTTTTTTTCAGCTTTATTTAAAAAGGTACAGTGACAAGAAAGCAGAGGGAGAGAAAGAGGGGAAGATATGTGGTGAAAGGTCGTGGGTTAGATTTGAACCCAGGCCAGCCGCTCTCAGCTATGCAAGATATGATTACCTGCTTATCCCATCGAGCTGAACTGGCACCCTGCTGGCTCCATGTTATCAGATAATGCAGCATGCTTCAGATCAAGAGGTTTTTCTCTCTTTCTCTATACTTTATTCTTCTTGTCTTTCTGATACAAGTTAACAAGTTAATCTTGGTTTCATTTGCGTGAGGAATTTCTCCAGTGTCGTGCAGGCTCTTTTAGGTGTTTTCTGGCAAATTCAAATCCGGTCTTCCTGTTCATTAATCTAACCAGGGGTTTGCAGCTTGTCATAAACCGTCTGTATTTCCATTCATGCAGGTGTCTCTTGATTGTAGACCTTAGTAACAATACCTCTACGAGATTGATCTTGACTTGGTTAGATGTTGTTGTTTTTTTTTCTTAATCACAGAAATGGTTATCATCCACTTTATTTGTCCTCTGTGGATTTGCTGTCTCTCTCAACTCTCTAATCATCTTCACTTGCATCAGCCACTCTTTGGACCTCATACTGAGAGTTCCAGAGAAAAGAATCAAGTTTAACATTTGGAATCGATACTTGGGGACTTTTGATCAAATCAGTTGTTCAAATCACGCAATATTTTGTCAAACCGTTTGAATTCAAGCAAATCATGTGTAAAGAGGAGGTCCTGGAGCTCTGGCCTAATGTTTTAAATTTTGTAAAGTTTATAGTTTATCTTTTTGGCTTTTAGGTTGGTTACTTTTATGTTGTGTTGTATTCTGTTTACATCTCAAGTACTGTGTTTATTTTTTTGTGATTCAGTTTAAATTACAAGAAATGTTTGTGTCTTGTTAATTCTTTGTCTCTGTCCCTCATTTGTTGCTTCCTGTTATATTCTAGGACTCCTTTGTCTCTTGTGCTTTGTATTTAGTTTTATTTCCTCCTTGTCTCATCACCTAAATTCTGTTCACCTGTGCATCACATCCATCAGCTGTCCTCACTTTTCCTTATTGTCCTCTTGTGTCATGTCTGTTTTGGCTCAGTGTGTCTTCCCTGTCATGTTACTGTACATTCCTGTATGGGCTTTGTCATTTGGAATTTGGACTTTTCCACCTGTTTGAATAAAAGTGCATTTGTTGTTTATTGTGTTGTCTGCATTTGGGTCCCTCTCCTACAAACTTGTGATAAATTGTCCATCTGCTCTGTATTTTTACAGACTCTGGTTGTCACACTGACAGAGCAGATAATTCACACATTAAAAGACTTGATTTAAATATTTCTATTATGTCTTCAACAACAAAAAGTCAGATGGCTGATATAACTTGGAAGTACACGATGAAAAACTAAAACCTTCCTCTTCAGGCATAAACTTGTGTCTACACATCCTTTATACACTTTTTGGCTTTTGTATAACTGATCACATATTTATTGTCTGTATGTGAGCTGCGCGTGATACTTCAGTGCCATCCATCTTCAGCAGCCTACTTACCCGACTCATCCTTTTTATGCCATTTTGTCGGATAATCCCCAAAGCAATCTCATTTTCGTAGCGAGTCATCGGAAGTTGAATGGACCTAAAATAAAGCCCGAAGTAGTATTTTGGTATTCCCTTCCTGCAACCATCTCATTCTGATGAGACGAAGAAATTGAGAATTGTTAAAACACCGGCGTGGTCAGGGTCAATCGAGGCAGCTTCCACTCTGACAACAACTGACTGCGAGCTGACAGGTTGAGAGATGTTTTTAAATCTCTTTTCTCCCTCCTTCAGGGCTGTCAGCTGCAGTCAAATCTCACACTTCCATTCCTCTTTATGCCTGTTCTTCAAATCCGATTTAGCTGTTCCTTCGTATACTCCAGAAGCCAGAGATGCGGTGGACATAAATGGCTTTACTACCCTCTTGCTTATCAGCACATTTCATTGTGCTCCACCTGATTTCCTGAGCTGGTGTTACTATTTTACTCATTTGCAGATGAAATTGTGTGCAGCTTATTTCTGTGCCATGCTGATTTTAGCTTAAGTGGAGGTTTTTTTGTTCATTGTGAATACATTTTGCTTCTCAGAGGAGCCTCTTGGATGAGTATTGTTGCTCTGCTCTCCCTTCCACAGATATTCAGTAACCTGTGTTTTCATGGTTTTGTGTAAAACCCACTTTACATTCTCCCCCTGTCCAAAAAACTGGCCTCTTACATCCTGAAACACTTTGCTTGGATCAAATATGCGTCTCCTCCTTAGTGCTTTCCCTTTTCTTAGTGCTTGTCTATGTGTCTGAAACTGTGAGTGTGTTCGTGTGTCTGTGTGTCTGTGTGTGTGTTTCTGCATTATTATATTCATCCCAGTACTGTGTAATTGAAGTGGAAAGAGAGGGCACAGAGGGTGAAAGAGTCAGAGGAGATAGCGAAAGACAAACTGTGACCAGCACTCTGGCTGCTGTGTGATCCAGATAGACGGGGCTTGTAGCTCCACGTCAGAGTCTCTCAGGGCTGCCAGCCAAGATGTTAGGGAGAAAAGTCTGTCAGGTAGAGGTGTTTCTTCATGCATGACAGGGCCCATCTCAAACGGTCCTGGATGACAAGCTGTGATGAGTAGAGCCTGTCATTTACTATGACAATGTGGTGAGTTGTGTTTTAAAGAAAGCATACCTAATATAAAACCGATATAATATACCCTTTAAAACATTGCTAACTAGGTAAGAAGCATGATAGAATGCCTGTTTCTCCTAGAATGCCATTAATAAGCTCTGTTACACAGGCTACAAGCATCGTAGGTGAAACAGGAAGCTGGATCTGGTAGAACTCTTTTACCACCGCATGGAATTTCTTTTTAAATAAATGTTTGAGCTCAGGTTAGTGGGCCCAAGAGCCCAACGCAAGAATCGGGTCTTATTGGCAAAAAAATTGAGATTTACTTTCAACTGGCAGGTTTAAGGTTACAAATGACTCCACAGTGTGCTGGCAGCATATACAAGCCAGGTCCACAACAGGCAAGTTGGCTCCCCGCACACCAAAAATAAAACAAATCTCGTGACTCATTTTGACTTAACAAATGTTATTGGATCTCGTGGATCACATTTATTTTGCATGAAAAAACAGCATTTGAAAAATATTTTGCATTTTACAGATGCTTATTTTCCAGTTATTGTGTTGATAGTACACATTCCAGTTACATTTTTGTGCTTGGTCCTCCATTCAATAAACAATATCTTATTTTTAAACATGTAATTGCCAAGTTCTCAATAATAAGATAACCTTTTTAAAGCTTAACACCACAAAATATTGTCTTGGGTTTGGTCCAGTGGTGTATTTATTATTTATCTAATGCAGTATCCCTGCCATAGAAACTGTTATGTTCCTAAGTCAAGAGTTAGATTCTAAATTTAGGTTTAAAAATATTCACACTTTCAGCTGCTCTACAATTTATTAACTGACTTTTCCAAGTGTTCAGATCATCTAACAGCTACGTGAAAGATCAATTTGCCCAAACATCATCCAAACCCAATTTAAGACAACACAATAGCAAGTCAATGTGAAAGGTATGTGCTTATCAGACATGTGTGCAGTGCCAAATGTTTTAGACATTAATAAACAATGTCTGTGATTCACTTATGTGGCGATGAAAGGCATAAATAGCTATTTATGCCTTTCTTTTGGTTATTTGCCAAGTTGTTGGCTACCACACACTAAGATGTGTTTGCATTTGGCATAAACATACACTATTTGGCAAACCAAAATAAAAATGTAAGAGTGTTGACCATTTGCTACAGGTGTAAGGCGGTAGAAGGAGTGCTAAAAGTTTTACATGAGAACATGTGAGATGCCAGGAAACAACAGAGAAGAAGTCTACTCTGAGCCTTTAATGTTGTTTCACTTTGATCAGTTTAAGCTTCAATAACTTGGAATATTATTGATATGCAGAAAGAAGAACAGGCCTTTGTTTTTGCTGCACTGTCCTTACTTCATTTTGTGCGTGCGTGTGTGTGTGTGTCCCAGCAGATGTTATCGAGGGGAAGAGCGCCATTCTGCTGGGGATGAGTCAGTGGAACTCAAATGACCTGGTGGAGCAGATCGAAACGCTGGGACACATGGAGGACCAGTCACACGGTAATTTCTGCACACCCACACACACATCAGTGCAGTGATGTTTTTACATTGCTCACACATCCATAGTGAAGGTCCAAATTGCCTGGAATGATAGTGAAAATTTCCCACTGAATGATGATAATAGCGGCCAGATCGTAAATGGACTGTAGCTTGTATTTAAAGCTACATTATGTCATTTTTGACCACTAAGGGCCAAAAGAAGTGAAAGAACTGCCCTGATTTCATCTTATTAAATCATAATGAGTACAGGGTAATATTTTCCAACTTTGAACTGCAGACCCAAAATAGCCCTCAGTGTGTGTTTGCTACCAGGGAGGCCTTTTGCACAGTAAGATATCTTCTTTGAGGCAGTTTTATAACTCTTACAGGTCATCAGATTTCTTGCAATTTATAGTTTTTTTGCAGAATAAAATGGTAAATAATTATAATGATGCCAGGTGTCGACCCTTCCATGTATTTGATTGGCCAGCATTAGTGTCCACTTGACACTAATAGATACTATGATAGAATAAATGGTTAACACGTATTGGCCTTTGAAGGTTTTGTGCCCAACAATAAATCCTTAGGAAAATATCCATATTTTAAGCAGCTTGACCTTCGTCACCGGGACTTGTGTGCTCTTTTAGTGTCAGACAGGTAGTGCAAACTTTGTTTAACCAGGCTCTTTTGCAGGAAACATCATAAGCATCATTTTAGAGACATAGAAATCCAATTTCCCTGTGCTGATTCTAGTCACTTTAGTCAAAGCTCAAAGGCTGGCAGTCACTGTATCCAGTCACATAACCAAGTATCAAATCAGTTAAATGACTGAATCAGATTTATTCAGTTCATTAGTGTCTTGTGTTCAGGGCAACATCTCTTATTTGGTCCACTAAAAACTTGCATATAAATGCATTGCAAATAAGGTTATGAGATTAACACCATTATATTGACAGAGTTTCAAGATGATGATTGTTTCTGTAGTTATCATGATTTCTTAATGTGGTTTTAACGAGAAAGTAGAATATTATGAATTACAGATCAGTTGAAAACAGTGGAGGTGGTACTCACAGTTGCTAGTAACAAACAAGAGCTGCTGGTGTTTTGGACAATGGCTATTTGGATTCAATACAGCCAGTTCACGTCAAAGATCTGGTGACAAAAGGCAATTTTACACATGAACTTTGGACAATTTTGGGAGAATCAGGCTGGGATGTTTTCTGGAGTTTCCACAACAGAAAATCGACCATTTGAGATGCATTTGCTCTCTGAGAAAGGAGGTGAGAGAGAGACCTGAATGTGCACCAGGCAGCAAACATAAGACTTACTCACCAGCAGTGAATGCATCAGGTTAATCTGACATCACATGGACTTTGTAAATAGGGAGCTGGCAGGTTAAACATTGGCTAATGTCCGATCTGGGCACATCTGTCAGGTAAGTCATAGAGAAGTTCAGGGATGCAGAGAATGTGTGAGAATAACTTAAGCTTTGTTTGTCCTCCACTGTAAATCTAAATTATAACAACAATAAAGAAACGCAGGTTTAAAGCTGGACAGACCTCCAGAGTTCGCATCACTGTATTATTCAATCAATCTGGGAAAACACCAGCTATTGTCTGGTATCTTAAGCCGCTGAGAACAGCAAACAATGTTTAGAGGGCTTTGATGAAGCCAGCGGATGTTTAGACAATGGATAATGTTGATGTCCAGGTCAACACTTGTGTTCCACATGCCAGTCAGTGTTTCTAGTCTTTGCATACATGTGCTTATAATTAAAACAGCTAATAAAAAGCAACTCTTGTCATACAATGGCTGACAAGACAATAGTAGAGATTGTATTTTGACCAGTGCGTTCTTCTTCTGCTCTCTACATGGACTGCATTAGGATGCACAGACAGAATTGTTCAGTACTGTACCTACAAAATGTCTACAAACAGAAACCACAGAGCTGTGGGAGTAAATGTAGTAGGTGTTGTCCATTGCCTAGACAGTCTACATGATTTTATGCAGGAATATGTTTACAGAGATTATGTTATTACCAGTGACCGCTTCACATTACGCTGAGTTCTTTGATGCCAGCCTAATATCGGAAAGGGTGATTAACTTAGGTTAAAGCTTCTGCATCAAAACCACTTGAGAAAACAACCTCCTACACAGTCCAAGGCATAATTTAAAGTGGAAGAGACCGGGTCAGGCTACCTTGCATGTGGTGAATATTTTGTAATTGATCAGTTAGATAACAAGAATATTTTAAAAGCAGCTAATAAACACGAGGCTGGCAGAGATATGTACTTTGATGCCTGCGGAAAAAAATCACTGAGCATGAAACATGCATATCTGCGTTCATTCTTTGTGCTCCTCAGTTTGTTTGTGTGCATGCAAAGCATCTGATGAAACACAATTCTTTACAAGCAGCAACGTTCTAATATTTTTTTCAGTTCTATTTAAGACTGTCGCTAAATTTTAAACAAGACCGTGGATGGCTTGATCTCATATATGTCGGATGCTTTGTACTTTCTTCTGATCCAACCCTTCCTCACAGGAAATAAGAGTTAATGAGGCCGAAAAATGTACATACAGGAACATTGTTATTACATTTCAATGAACAGAACTTCCTTTGATTTTAAAGATTTAGCATTTTCTTTTCTGCTTAGTTTTACGTCTACCCTTCCCTTGTGCTTTCACTTCAAGGTCCTCAGGATTAACACAGGAACTGCTACACTTTATTTTTGGATCAAAAGACTTTTTCTTGATTTTTTCTTAGCGAATGAGCTTTTTTTTTTTTAATCACAATCGAGAAAATCAATGAATGTCTACATCTACATTCTTTGTGTTTTGAGAAAATAAAAAGATGCTCTCCCAGTACGGAGCAGTATAAATATTTATGAAACAAAGAGTACTGACAGGAGGAACATAATTGTTCAACAGTTTTCATATTCAGACCTCAGTGCAGACTTCAGATCGAGTGGTTCGTCTAACAAATTCTCCCTGTGAGAAATTTATTTGATTACGTTCTTTTATGAAACTCTCCTGCGTGGTTATCTAACCACTGTAATGAATTACATATTGCCCAGAGATTTAACGCTACAGTATTTCTCAGACAAAAAGACAAGTTCAGTGTGTGCCTTCAAAGATCATAAATCAGTTCAGGGATTTATCCACATCAGTGGCTTTTAGTAGAACAGAAGGGAATGAATTGAGATGACATTCAAAGGCCTTCAGGTGTAAATTGATGTCAATGTTTTCTAACCTTTTTTTAAAAAAATACCATAATATAGTTATATATTTGAAGGTTAAGTGCGAGAATTTACTATTAACATGTAATAAAAATAATTTAAGATCCATAGAAAATGTTCATCGGGTTAGCTGTGGGCAAAAGACAGTGTAGACATTAATAAAATTTCCTATGCCGATAGCACACGCTTATTGCATGGCACTTTTTTTTCTTGGTCTTGTTTACTGAGAAATGGACTGGCCCTCTTTGCAAAGGTCATTTCTGAGGTTTGACAAACTGGAGTGGATGCTTTTAATCAGTGCAGTTCAGTGGGGGTGCAGCCTGGTCCTGCAGAGATGAAAGAAGCTGCTCCTGCAGGAAAGCTGTACCCAAGTCATGTGGTGCTAACTGGAGAATTATATATAAAATGATGTCTTCTTTACAGCCACTCACAGATCAACAGACCTCTTAGTAAACTAGTCATGACACGTGATGAGCTCATTGTAGCAGTACCATTTGGAGTGTCACGGTAGCAGTCTGTTTTCGTCAAAGTAAATGATTTAAGATCTGTCTTATTTGTTGAAGGTTTATATCATTTATTTTCCTGTGCCACTGCCATCCATCATTCTCTTTGACTCCTGGCTAAATACGGATCACTGAACCGAGCTCTTGTTCTTTGTGAGAGATTCCTGTATTACTATGAAGATAGGAACTTTAGTGTACTTTAATTAAATTTCCACACATGACTATATACACTCACTGGCCACTTTATGTACCCCTTTCGGTAGCTTGTTGGATAACCGTTTGCCTATTGGGTCGAGATCTGTTGACTGTGGAAGCTATTTAAGTACAATAAACTCATTGTCATGTTCAAGAAACCAGTTTGAGGTGATTTGAGCTTTGTGACATGTCTTATCCTGCTGGAAGCAGCCATCAGAAGATGGACATATCAAAACCACCACCCAGGTAGGCTGTTGCATTTAAACAACGCTTAATTTGTATTAAGGAGCCAAAATTATGGGAAGGAAATGTCTCTCACTCCATTACACCACCACCACGAGCAGCCTAAACCACTGATACAAAGCAGGATGGATCCACATGGATCCAAGTTGTGTTCTTCAAGGCTCATCATCCCAGCTACCTGGTGTGGTCTTCTGTTGCTCTAGACCACCTTCTTCACAGTTCGAATGTTGTGCTTTCAGAGATGCTCGTCTGCATACATTTAAATCACGTTGCCTTCTTATCAGCTGAAAACAGTCTGATAAGATTCTGATTCTGCTCTGATCTAATGCATCATCAAATCATTTTCACTCAAAAAATTGCTGCTCACTGGATGTTTTTTTTCTTCTTTTTTGGACCATTCTTCCTAAACCCTAGAGATGGCTGTGCATGAAAATCCCAGTAGATCAGCAGATTAGATACTCAAATACTCAGATCAGCAGGTCTGGCACCAGCAGCCGTGTCACATTCAAGTCACATGAATCACCTTTCTTCCCCATGCTGAGTTTGAACTTCAGCAGGTCATCTATTCCAAGTCTACGTTCCTAAATGCGTTGAGTTTCTGCTGGGTGATTTTGCTGATTAGATATTTGATTCAATGAGCAGCTGAACTTGTGATTTTAATAAAGTGGCCAGTGAATAGAGGCAAATATCTTAAAATATAATAAAAGAGAAAGTCAGCTTGTCAGTTTCCTTTTTTAGGCATTAAGCACACAGGTATAGTTGCAAGTCAAACGGCAAAACTCCCTTTTAACATGAAGAGCAGTCTTTGGAGTGCGGCCACCATGGTTCTGGTGACAGCAAAGTA